GAAGCCCGACCCTGGGCCTCAGGCAGCATGTGCTCCCACCGTCCTGTAGGCCCCAGAAAGCCAGTGGCATGGCATTCATCCACAAAGACCAGGGCGCCATATTGAGAGGCAAGGCGGCAGATCTCCCGCAGGGGTGCGATGTCACCGTCCATGGAGAAGGCCCCGTCAGTGGCCACCAGGCGCAGCCGATGCTTCTGCAGGGGACACATGGGCAGGGGGTGGCTGGTACTGTGAGTGGGGCCAACCTACCCTCCCTGTACACAGTTTTGAGCTCTCAGAGCCCACCTCGCCCAATGCCCAACACAGAGGTGGGAACACCATTTGGGGCTGGAACATCCCCTCCCTCATCTCTGTCTCTGAGCCTGACCCACCTCTTCCAGGCAGACTGGAGCCACATTTAGCCCTGGATAGTGAGAATGGTTTCGTTCTCCTGTGTGAACTATCAGACAGCAGGGTGGGGTGAGGCCAGGTTCAATCCATGTGCCCACTGCCCCCCTTATGCCTGGCAGAGGGCCTGGCACACATTAGATGCTTGCTAAAACTCAAGGCAGCATGGTGCAATGGAATAAGCAAAGCTGTGGGGTCTCAGGGATTTGGGTTCGAATCTTGGCTGTTTGAACTTACAGGCCATTTGTCTGTGAGTGAGCAGTTGGCTTCTCCAGGCCTCACTTCCTTTACTAGTGGGGAGGCTGAGGCTATGACCAGTACTTGCCCCTGTGGCCCCTGGGTCTTGCCCACCTGGGCCTCCTGCAGCTTGGCCTCCAGGTCAGCCATGTCCAGGTGGCGGTAGCGGTACTTGTGAGCCTTGCATAGACGGATGCCGTCAATGATGGAGGCATGGTTCAGCTCGTCAGATAGGACCGCATCCTCCGGGGTCAGCAGGGCCTGGAGGGAGGCAGTGCAGTCAGAGCTCTCACCTAACTGCCTTGACATTCTCCTTCCCTCGACTCTCCCTGAGTCAAAATTTCCCCACCAACCAGCGCATCCCCTGCGCCTATCTGGGTCTCCGGAGCCCTGGCACTGTGCTGGACCAGAGGCCCTGTTCTCACTGCATGTTTGGTGCTCAACTACCAGCTGAAAGGTTGGTGGTTCGAACCCACCCAGGGGTGCCTCAGAAGACAGTCCTGGTGATCTGCTTCCCAAAGGTCAGTCTTGAAAACTCTACGGAGCAGTTCTACTCTGTACACTAACAACAATCCTGCCACTCCCAGCCTTAAGCTGCCCCAAGTGCCTGGAAGCTGACCTCCTTGTAAGCCCTCAAGGAGCACGTGACCCAACCTTAACCTCTTTAAGAAATGGGCACTGGGGCCCCTAGATACGGCGCTGGCATTCGGCCAGGTTCTCCTGACCGCTCACCCCCAAAACTTTCCAGGGCCTAGCAGACCCCACCCACAGACCCCACGTACCTCAAACAGGCCAGCATTGGCATCAAAACAGCTGGGATAGAGGATGGCGTCCTCCCGCTGGTGGAAGCGGGCTATCTTTGCTTCCAGATTCTTGTGGATGCTCTGAAGAAAGTGTGTGAGACAGGTGTTAACGCCTGAGGGCCCAGGTGAGACAAGTACTGGGGGACTGAGGCTTAGAGGGCCACAAACAGAACCTGGCCTGCAGCCTCAGCCTCTCCCTGCTTTCTGCACCCCAGAGCTGACAAGAACCTAGCAGATGACTTCCATGAGGAACAGGGGACTGGCTAGGTTTCCTCTCCTTATCCCTTCCATTCATTTTGTATTGGAGGTCTAATGGGGGAATTTTGGATGCTGATGGGAAGGAAGATGTCTTTTTCCTGATATCAAACCAATTGCCTTTTTTGGTTATTTAATGGCAAAGAAGAGGATTACATAAGTAATTCTGGCCCATTTGGGCCTCTAAGTCCTAGGTTGGAAAGCTGTTCAGTCTGGGCGAGGGCTGTGCTGGAAAATGCCCCAGCTGGGAGTCAGGGGTTCTGCCTCTGACATTCATTTCACCCCGTCCTTCCTGAGAGGACAGGTAGTGATCATCACAGTGTAGTAGTTAAGAGCACAGACCCTGGAGCCAGGCCATCTGGGCTCAAATCCCACCATGACAAGCTGTGTGCCCCTGGGCAAGCCACTCATCCTCTGTGGGCCGCAGGGTCCTCATCTCTAAAATGAGAATAAGAATAGCACCCACTACATAGGATTAATGAGTTCATTCTGTAACGTACATAAAACAGTACCCAGGCACCTATCAAACATTATGTAAGCTTCATGTCAAAGAATATTTACAAAATAACAGCTGATGTTTATTGAGCCCTACTATGTGCCAGGTACTGTCCTGAGCACTTTTATGTGTATTAAGTCTTTAATTTGTAACAATCCTATTAAGTGCTATCATCCACAATTTTCCCAACAAGAGGATTGAGGCACACAGAGGTTAAGAAACTTGCCCATGGTCACAGAGCTAATAAATGGCAGAACTGGAAACCAAGCTCAGGCAGAAGAGCTCCAGAACCCTCAGTCCCAATCCTTCCGTTCTACCCTTCCTCTTACATAGGGGACAACTGTGATGAACCCTGTTTTGCAGGAGGGGAAATGGGTGCTCACAGAGGTTAAGTTTCTTGCTCAAGGCCTCTTAGCAAAACAGAGACCTAAGCCCAGCCTTCCTACCAGACACCTCTGGGGCTAAGAGTGGGCCCAGAGCCCTGGGATAAGCTGAGCTGGCTAAACCAGCCCTGCTAACTATGTGAAGCAGACAGCTGGGTTAGTGGCCAACCCTAAGGACAATGCCTCCCATCCCTCTCTCTGTACCTGGGTCCCACAGATGAAGCGGACAGAGCTGAGGCCAGCTCCAAACTCCTCCAGGGCCCGAAGCCCTGCCTGGATCACCTCAGGGTGGCTGCTCAGGCCCAGGTAGTTGTTGGCACAGAAGTTAAGGATTCCTGAGGTGGAGGAGATGAGGTGGATACAGAGCTCAGGGTAAGGAAGGGCCTGGAAAGATGTCGGTGCCAGGCCCTGGGGACTGAGAGAGGAAATGGACCAGGATCCACCCTTGAGGAGGCAACAACCACACAGTATGATCCACTTTGGGCAGAGGCCTACATGGGGACTGGGAGCCCCGAATCCAATAACAACAGAAGGGGGTCAGGAAAGGCCTCTCCATGCTGCACCTTGAAGGATGAGAAGTTTAAACTCTGTCTTTGAGGAACCCAGCCCTTCCTCACAGGCTTTTCCTGCCCCTGAAGACCACCAAGCCCTCATCTGGGCCTTGGTTTCCTCATGGGTAAGGGAAGAGGGCTGACTCAGATACTCGCTGTGGTCCTCAAACACCACACAGTTTACTTTGCTGTCTGGCATAGAATCGCATCCCCAAAGGCGTGCCTCTGGCCCTGACCCCTGACAGGTCCTGAATTATAAAGCCCGAAGTGAACACAGCTGGCCCAATGAGGAAACCGAGGCCAGAGGAGAGGAAGGGTCACACAGCCTGGGAGAGGCGGACACGGGGAAAACCTGGGTCTCCTGATTTCCCATCTTTTGATGCTCTGGGAAAGCTGGGGCAGCAGGGGTTCCTGGGAGCTCTATTTTACAGATGAGGATAACAGCATCAAGAAGGATTCCATGCCCATTTCCTGGGCAGAAAGCAGTTTGGTGGCCTGTTTATAACCATAACCCACCTGAGGCCTGGCACAAACACAAGGGCAGCGGTCACTGGTTCAACAGACATGAGAGAGGCCTGGCAGTCAATTCGGAAATACGATTTCTGCAGCAAGCCTCCAGCCCCTTGCTTCTTGTGACTCTGGCCAGTTAGCTGGTCTCTCTGGCCAGTTAGCTGACCTTTCAGCTCCAAGATCCCAGAGGAGCTAGACCAAAGCCAGCTCTGCCAGGGGCTAGCTGCGGGCTTTTGGGCAAGCCGTTTCACATCTCTGAGCTTCAGCGTCTTCATTTGTAAAATGGAATTACTCATTCCTACGTTTAGAGATTTGCAGGACTCCACGTGCGACAATTATCGGAGGCCTTCACAAAGCAGCCTCTCAAGAAATGCGGGTTTTCTCGCTGCCGCCTCCCCACCACCCTTCCTCGAAGTGGCTCGGTGGGGGCCAGCTGGGTCACTCTCTCTTTATCTCACAGGCCTGGGCCTCAGTCCAGCCCGCTGCTCAAGGACAAATCACCTCCCTCCCTGGAAACTGGTTTAACCAAGTTAAACAGCGAGAAGCCACAAAATCTGCCCGATAGATGGGAAGGGGGCCAGTAGCCACGTGTGCCGGTGCCGTCCCTCCTCCACGGCATTCAGGCCCTCTCTTGCAGCGCAAGCCCTGGAAGGGCCCTCGAACGCCGGGCCAGGTCCGCTGACTCCGGGGAGGGGTGTTACCTCCGGAGACGCCGTCCACGTGGATATACGGCCCCTGCCGGGACGTGATAACTCGCTCGCTTTTCCAGGTGCCGGCCTCACGGATCCCTTCCAGCTCCCGCTCCAGGACGCCGCGCAGCTGGGCCAGGGCCGACTGCGCTCTGTGGCCGCGGGGGGTCCCGGGGAGGGCAGCGCGCAAGACGTGACCAGCCCACATCTCGCCCACTGCGCCAGAACGCGCTGGTAGGCCTGGCTGCCTTGCGCATCGCTGCTCCGGCCCGGTCACGTGGCCGGGGGCCGGGCCCTGGCAGCCAATCAGAACTAGAGGGACTGTTAAAGGAGAAAGGGAGGCGGGTCCTCGGGCCCCGCAGGACCAGTGGAGGCCGAAAGTGGATTGATATGTAAGTTGAGGCGGGAGAGGCCCAGCGTCGGGGGACTCCCCCTTTATTCCCATCCCCTTCTCTGCCTATACACTCTCCTCTCGGAAAGAAAAGGGATAACTTCTGGACCCCAAAGGCAAGAGCCTAGAAGCAGGCTGAGGTACGTTGTGCAGCCTTCAACCCAGAGGTTTCCGGTTTCTGTTGAGGTCTTGGAACGCTTCCCCCACTCTCAGGTGCAAAGGCCCCCACATACCCCCACTGCCCGCCCGTCCACTCCAGCCTTAAAAATTATAATACACACACTCAGGTGCTTTCCTTTTCTAATTTTATTTTAAAGTCTTAAAATTACAAAGACAGCAACTTCTTCCCGGCACAAATAACACTTACCAAAAAAACAATTTTTTTTCCCTATTTTATTAAAAATAAGAGAAAAACAACTGTACAGGTTTTTTTTTCTCCTAGCTCCCGAGTGAAATATAAGTACTAGCACTAGTTATGTGTATGTATACACACACACACACACACACACACTCACAGATTTAACTCTGTAAAACTTACTTAGCAAATTCAAAATTGACTGCAGTATGTCTTACTATCCACTCCTCCCCGCCCACCGCCTCCCTCCCGTCTACAACTACATAGAAAAGACTCCTAAGTAAAAAGAGGTGGAGAGGTCTCCCAGTGTCTGATGGCAGGGCTGGAGAGCTCTACCAGGGATCCCCATCAGACCACCAAAGAAAGCCACCTCTTGCACAGAAGGAATAAAAAAACGTGGGAAAAGGGGGTAAAAAAAATACATCAATTGTGTGGAAAAACCTAGGTTTCAACAGGGCATACCCGAGGCACTTGGCTGACTCCTCACCCTTCCTACAAAGTTTCCACTCCCTTTTTAGGTGACTCTTTTCCAGCATCCCCCCCCCCCCCGGGTTCGTCACTAACAGAGAAGAGCCGCGGCTTCTCCCACCAGCTGTCACTTCAGATTTGCCTCCCTTCCTTAAACAATAGGGAAACCAAAGGACCAACTATACAGAGGTGACAAGAAAACTGGATTTGGACCCCTTACTGACCCCCTTTTGGCATCCAGCTGCTGCCACCCATCCTCTCTCTCTGCCAAAGGTTTCTGAACTTCTCACAAGGGATGCCTAACTTCAAGAAAGCTCACCCGCCTTAAAGACACCTCTAGAAGCCGGACAATTCCTGGACTCCCTCTCATCTAGCCAGAAGAGGCTGCCTGGACCCTTCTCTCCTCCATAGCAAACAAACCATCCAACAAAACAACACACCAGCCCACCCAAACCCCTAAACCCTTAAGTAGCTTAATAACAAGTTGACAAAATTAAGTACATTCTCATCATAAGACATTTGTTGTGGCTGTCCTTGCTTCAAGACTGGTTAAAGAAAAAAAATCAATTCTTCCGTATTTCTGAGGCATCCAAGTTCTGTCTTTCATAAAGTCACATAGAAAAGGGGCAAAGGGTTGCAGATGAGGATCAAAAGAGAAGAAAGGTAAAAAGTATTTACAGAAATAGGAGATAGGAAGAAGTGTCCATGGAAAGGCCTCAATGTCACTTCTTCTTGCCAGCCCTCTTGGCACTGGACTTGGCTTTGGGCTTCACTGATTTGGCTTTCTTGGGCTTGGATGCCTTCACTGGCTTGGCTTTGACAGTTTTGGGTTTTTTGGCTTTCTTGAGTGTGGCAACCGGCTTCTTCTTGGCCTTCTTGGTTGGAGTGGCTTTGGGCTTCTTACTTGACGCTTTGGAGGCAGCCTTCTTGGGCTTGGCTGCCTTCTTTGGTGTGGCCACCTTCTTGATTTCCTTCTTGGCCTTCTTGAAGGCCACTGGCCTCTTGGGCTCATCGCCCTTGGCTAGCCGGAAGGACCCTGAGGCGCCCACCCCTTTGGTCTGCTTCAGGACACCGGTGGTAACCAGGCGCTTGATGGACAACTTGATCTGGGAGTCAGCGTTCTCACCCACCTTGTAGTGGCTCTTAATATACTTTTGGATGGATTGGCGGGAGGAGCCAGCGCGGTTCTTCTCCGCCTGGATGGCAGCCACGATCATGTCTGAATACTTAGGATGGTCTGTGGACTTCTTGGAGGCCTTGGCCCTCTTGGGCTTGGCCGCAGGAGCAGACGTGGAGTTCTCGGTCATGGTAGCCCGCCTGGTCCTGCTGTTGAAAAAAGCGCCTTCAATAGGACAAGCCCTCGTCGGAGACTAACGCAAGCCTGGCTCGGGATCTGCTTTTGGCCCGTGAGCACTAGGCCTGCCCGTAGTCTGGCTCTCAGGGATGCAGGCGGAGTCGCGCTCTCTCCTCCCGGGTCGGGTCTCGGGACGACTCGCTGGGCCGAGTCTGCGTGGCCCAGACCGGATACTCTATCGGCTGTTCTCTGCGCCTGGTTTTACCTCTCTCGGCTCTGCCTCTCTTTTTTCAGCTCCGCGTCTGGCGCTCGGGCTGCGCATCCGGGTATTTAGCGGCGGCGGGCGGACCGCGGTGAGGACAGGGCTGCTGGCTGCCTGCTCCCGGCCCGGAATGGCGCCGCGCCGCCGCCATCTGTGTTTCTTCCGCCGAGCAAATCCGACCTTTCCCCCCGGCCCGGGCCTTCCTTCGCTCCGCCGCCGCCCGGGGTTGCTGCCTGGGTCCTTGGGCTCCCCGGCCGGGTGTTCCGCCGGCCCAGCCGCTGCCCCCCGCGCCCGCCTTGCGCCCCAAACGGCGCTGAGGACCGCTGGCGCGCCGGCACATTTCCCCTTTGCGGGGGGCTGGCCCTGCGGGGCTGGGGACACCAGGTGCGAGGACCCCCCCGGAGCAAAGCCCCCTCCTGGGGCTAGTCGGGGACCCCACTTCTTGATCGCTGTGGGGTCCCCCAGCCGGGTGGAGAGGCCAGAAAGCGGCCCCAACTAACACACGCGGTCCCGAGCCGGGCGGCTCCCGGCCGGGCCAAGCCGGGACAGGGGGGAGGGGTCGCTCCCCCAGGGACCGGTCACCTCTCGGGGGTCGCCCCGCTACCGGGCCCCCCGCACCTCTAGCCCCCCTCTGTCCTTGGGGCCCCAAGCAGACTTTCCCTGCAAGAGTTGGAAGGGCACTTTCAAACTTCGTCCCTTCCCCCTCTTCTGTCGTCTTTCCCCCAGTACGCCCCCAGACCTTTTTGTCGAGGCTTGCTCCTGAGCCCTAACCCCCAATGCTACCTGGGTCCCGTGAGGGATCGGGAGAGGCCTCCGGGATAGCCTCCTTTCGTCAAAGACCCCTACATCTCCCGTATATCCTAACTGGGAATTCATTTACATGCCTTCCTCAACCTGGGAGTTTTGGGGCGTCAGAGGCAGAGCTCGCTGCTCCCAAGCCCTGAGGCCAAGCCTGAGGATCTAGCTCCTCTCTTAAAGACCTTTGAAGGCAGAGTGGGGGGAACCACAATGGAGGAGTTGCCCCAAAGGCTCTAACCTGAGAGTGTCGTGGGGGCCCCTGGGATGAGGAGAGGCCATGAGTACTTTAGGGGCTTGGGAAAGCGGAGCGCTGGGGGAACGGTCGAGGAGGGGGTCGCTTTCCTTGAGTCCGGACTAATCCTTGGAAAATGCGTTCAGAGATCCGTTGCTGGGACCACCGCCATTTTGCTGGGAGGATGCGGATGTCTTTGTTAAAATGTGTACATCTTTCACCCCCAGCTGCTTGGCGGGTATAGACGAGGCCGACAACCCCGCGGTCGGGCACCACTGTCTGAAAGGAGTCTTGAGACTCTGAGGGGCTTTAGGGGTCCAGAGGCCAGCGGAAGGGTCCCTGGATTCCCCGGGACCCCTTCTCTACGCTGACCTCCTACGCACGCGCCAGGTCCCGCTTGGCGTGGGGTCGGGATTCTGGGATGCTCGCTCCCTGAGTCCCTCAGCCTCCCCCGCCCCAGCCCCCGCCAACGCACTTGCTTTAGTCCCTAAGCGCTGAGGCCCGTCACTCTTCACCTAAACAATACCCTGGGAGTAGGGTATCATAGCTGGTCAAAATGATGAACGCATGTCCGGGATGGTCGGGGGGCCTTGGACAGACTCAGCGGCAAGCTGGGGAAGGAGCTGAAAGGGAATAGATTGGGGGTTCACATGGGGGTGAAGGAGTCGCAACTGGTGGAGGGGTGTTCCTGCTGGATCCTGGAGTCTCTGAGGCCAGGGCAAATTAATGGGTTTGCCCCAAAACCAAGGGATGGATTAATCCAAAAGATTGGGAGAGCAAGCAGGGGAGAGGGAGCGGGAGGCTGGTGACTCGGTGTCGGATGCCTTCTGTCAGGGCTTATCTTGGTGGCACAGGCGAAGGAAACCGATGAAAGGCCAGGTTAGTTCAAAAGGTCAAGGTTCTTGTTTGGATGGTGATTTGAAAACGTAACATTCTGGTGGGTTTGTTTTGGTTGTTTTCAAAGACAATTCTCTGGGTTCCCACTAAGATCTGGATGGAGAAACAGGCGTTCAAATAGCCACCGAGATGCGTCAGATGTTGTCCCACTACGCGTTCCCAGATACTTGCCGCCCCCGCCTCGACCCGTTCCCCGAGTGTCTTAGAATAAGGATTGGATGAATCCAATAACACGATGAGAAAATAATTTTATTTGCACAGTGCATTACTTTGCAAAATACTCTTCCCCGTTTCTAGATCTGCGCCTCCAGGGAAGGCAGGCAACGTGATCGCTACCCCAGTCACCCCCATTTTACCGCAGAGGATAACGGAGGTAGCCGGGGCTTGCAAGGATGGATGGGGTGGGCGGTGGGGGACTGTGAGTCTCAGCGACCCCAGTCTGCGTTTCATTTTGTAGCAGCCCGCACATCCCACATCCCGGCCCATCCCAGCGACCTGGAATTCTCTCCCGGAACTGAAGCAGGAATGGGGGAGGGGGCGCCTCGGATCGCGGATGCTTTCTGCCGCCGACACCCGGTCTCCCGCCACGCGGCGAGATCGCGCCCCTCCCCCTGGTCGGAAAATTGGTGGGGGAGGTGAGTAACCAGGAGGGGTCCCCGGGTTTAGGTGCAGAGTCCGAGACGAAGGGGCAAGAAGAGGACAAGCCTGCCTGCAGATTGGCTTGGCCTCGCCCCGCTGCCACTACAGAGGTCTGGGGGCTCCGGCCGCCCCGCCAGCACACCGCACCGGCCACTCTGGGGTCCCGATGGAGCGCAGAGCCACTTTCCGGCCGGCGGCTGGCGGAACCACCCCCACCCCTCCGCCTTTCACGCGAGGCCCTGTAAAAACTCAGGAGCCGCGGGACTGCGGGCAACTCCTCCTGGGAAATGTAGTCTCGGCGCCGAGCCCTCCGCTGCCCCCCGCTCGGGGCCCTCGCGAAGCTCGGGACGGCCGGGTTTCCCGGGTGTGGGGAGGAGGTCCGGTGGCGCGGGGAGGGGTCCAGGCCGGCCTGTGTCGCTCTCTGGGCCTCAGTTTTTTTACTTGTTAAAAAGGCGTCCTACCTACCTCTGGGGCTGGTGTGAGGGTGAAATGTATCCTGTGTGGAAAAGTGTAAAACGCGTTCGGATGCCAGGACTCATGTTTTCAGTCATGATTTGCGCGCGCGCGCGCGTGCGCGCGCGTGTACCCGCATTTATTGAGCGCTTATACATAACATCTCCATTTTTCCAGACAGGAAGCCTACAGAGGCTAAATGACTTATCCAAGGTTGGTCAGCCTGGAGGAGGGTGACCCCGTCTGACGAACTCCCAAGCCACTGCCCTTTCCACTGCACCATGTGCCGTCTTGTGAGACCCTGACAAGACTTCCACCCATTCTGGGCTTTGGAATACTAATGTATGCATTTAATATGTGCCAGACACCGGTACAGACGCTGGGGATATAACCGTGAACAAAACAGACAAGAAGTCCCTGCCCTTGTGAAGCTGACCTTCTAGGGACAAGACAGATAATAAGCGATAGACTAAATACATAAGCAAGTTATATAATATTTTGGAAAGTGATAATTGAGAAAAAAAAATTAGAACAGTTAGAACTTAGTTCTGTTCCAAAACACATGGAGTCACCATGAGTCAGCAGCAGCTTCACAGCAACTGGGTGGTTAGCTGGTTTGTTTTTGGAAGGAAAGTTATAGACCAGTATGGGGGCTGACAGGAGTTAGTTTGCAATTTCAAATGGCATAGTCAGAGAAGGCCTCATTAAGAAGCTAACATTTGAGCAAAGATTAGAAGGTATGGGGGAGGGAGTCATTCTTATGTTGGAGGAAGACTGTTCCTAGCACTGGGAACCATTGCAAAGGCCCTGAGGCAGGAGAACCCAGGGTGACTGAATCAAGGAGGACATTGAGAAGAAATGAATTAAAAAGGGGAAGAGAAGAAAAAAGTAGAGGGGAAGCAGTCATTAGGGTTTTGTGGGCCATTGTAGGGGCTTTGGCTTTTACTCTGAGTGAGATGGGAGCCATGGGAGAGTTTTGAGCAGAGGAGGGATGTGATCTGACCCCCAGTCAACAGGACCACTCTGGATGCTGAGTGGAGAAGAGTCAGCCGAGAGACAAGGGTGGAGGCAGGACTAGGAGGCTGTTGCAGTAACCCAGGTGAGAGATGAGAGTAGCTTGGCCCAGGTGGCAGCAGTGAAGGTGATGAGAAGGGATCAGGTCCTAGGTGTATATTAAAGGCAGAACCCACAGTGTTTCTTGACGGACTGTATGTTAGGTGTGAGAGAGAAGTCAAAGGGTGGTCCCAAAGATTTTGGCCTGAACACCTGGAAGATGGAGGCTGCCGTGGATTGGAGTGGAGAAGCCTGAGGGTGAGCAGGTTAAGAGTTCCGTTGCATTAGGTTTGAGATGCTGGGAAGGCAGGGAAATGAGTCCCGAGTTGGGCGTGGGGGAGAGTTTGGCGCTCAGATGCACATGACAAGAGCTGGATGCCATCCTGTCACCAAGGGGTTGAGAGACAGGAAGAGGATGAGGACTGGATCTGGGGATGCTGGCATGAGAAGGTGGGAATGAAGAGGAGGAACCAGCAGAAGAAACGGGAAGGCGCTTCCAGTGAGGAAGGAGAGAGGACAACGAGGGGAGGCGGTGTCCTGGAGGCCGAGTGAGGGAGGAAAGTGTATTAAGGAGGGAGAGGGAGTGGCCAATCATGTCAAATACACCTGACCAGGGCAGTGGGGGGCATTGTCGGTCCCTATGGGGCCATCATCTGTCCCTGTGGAATGGCAGTTGCCCTTATCTGGAAAGTGAAGACGTACGACCAGACAATCTATAAGAGTCCTTCCAACACTTTGAGACTCAAGAGCAGGGCTTTGTGTAGGGTGTGTCAGCCCCTAGTATTCAAGCATCTTTCCTTCAGGGACAGAGGCCCTTTAATATCATCCTTGAGCATCCTTCCTTCTCAGGGAAATACATTATAAATTATCACCATTGTTCCTAAGGAGAAAAAACAGTTACTGCTGAGTCCCCTCCAACTCACGGCAACCCCACGTGAGTCAGAGCAGAACTGTTTGCAATGGC